AGTGAAAGTAATCTGGATGCGGTTTTTTCAGCGCCCCCCCCCCCCTTTTCTGAAAAACTGCTCTTCCTTACAAAATGAGGTTTATGTGGGGTTTTTTTTTCGAGAAAAGCGTTTTTCCCCCAAAAAACCCACATCCAGACTACTTTCACTTTTGAAAGATCCTCTTTCGAAAGTGAGATCAGAAGAAGATATGAAAATTAACATGGAATTTGCATATCCTCTTTTGGGACAAAAACATAGTTTAGACGTGCCCTCAATGTGAACCTCTTCCTTGGAAAATACCACATGCTACAAATTTATCAAGGCAACCTCAGGAGAGGGTATCTGCTGTAGTAACCTAACCCTCTCCGATTCTGAGAAATATCTTTTGCTACCAATATGGGCGTAATTCTCCATCCCATCCACTGTGGCCATCACTGTTCAGTGGCGGTGGTTCTCAAACCATGGTCCATGGACCGCTGTGAGCCTACAGAATATTTTCTGTTAGTCTGCAAAGATGGGCAGGTCACATGGTGCTGTCTCCAACTCCCCACTTCCAGCTGCTTTGACAGGTATGCAGGCACCTTTTCATTGCAATGAAGAACCCAAATCTGTATTAAAGCAGTAGGCGAGATGGAAAAGATGCCGGTTTGGCTGTTGGATCTATGGGAGAGAAAGCAAAAGTTTGCCCCCTGGACTGGAGCCGACAGCAGAACAGCTCCAATTAGCTCAATACTTTTCTCATCTCACTTCTCCAAATAAGCAACAACTGTGAGTGCCTCAAGACGGTTTTGTGAGGGAGGGGTTCTGTGAGATGGGGTCAGCAATAAGACTAGTTTGTTTGTCCCTGCACATGTAGCTCCTGCCTGATACACAATCCTGTAGAATTGGCACCTTTAGCACAAAAAGGGCTGTGCAGACAGACACACATGCCTCACTATTTTTACCTTCCCCAGCACCTTCTGGAGGTGAGTGCTGACATTTGTCTTTTTTAAGACATACTCGCTGTAAACTAATTTGTTGCCGATTTCTCATCTCAGTCCTAGTTTAACACACATCACTGGTTTTCAGCTCTATGGGGTTTTCTAGCTATCGGACACAATAGTTACCTTGGGAAATACAGGGTGATGTAAAAGGTCCTTTCCCCGTTGCATCCTTTCGTGCCCTCAGACTCATAGGGTACGTCTAGACTACAGGCTTTTTTCGACAGAAGTTTTGTCGACAGTATCTGTCGACAAAACTTCTGTCGACATAGAGCGTCTAGACACATTCAGTTCTGTCGACAAAGCAAGCTGCTTTGTCGACAAAACCCTGTAGTCTAGACACAACCCTACAGGCAATAACACCTTCTGTCGACAGAAGGCGTTATGCCTCGTAAAATGAGGTTTACCAGCGTCGACAAAACTGCTGAGTTCTGTCGACGTTATGTCGACAGAACTCAACGGTAGTGTAGACGCTGGTATAGTTTTGTCGACAAAACTCGGTAGTCTAGACACACCCATAGAGAAAGGATCTACTCTTGTGTCCTGTATCTCACAGGTCACCAGCCCCTCCCCCCACCGCATACACACACTGAACCTAACAGCCACCATCAGGCCAAAGTATTCCAGCCCACAGTAGAATATTTTGTGCCACAGGCAAAGACTAGGAGGGACTGAGGCACACCAGTGCCAGGGGCCCCTTAGTCATTTGCCTGCTAAATATTGTGAGGATGACAATCCTCAGATAAACCCAGATAATCCTGGACGGAGGCCTGTACCCACCTACAAAGGCAGGTGATCCCTCCGGTCACTGGACATCTGACCTTGGGCAATTTTCTTCCTGAGCCCATGCAGGCGAGTGAGACCCCGAGCATGAACCAGATGAGCAAGAACCAGCCAGCTGAACACATGACCTGTTCCCAATGTTGTTTCAGGGGCTCATCCCACCTGACCAGCGGTTTGCTGCCCCATCCCCAGTGGGCTGGGTTCACCAGGTCAGTGGGGAGTTAGTGCCCCTCTCTCCAGACCCTCGGCTGTGCAGTCACAGGCCAAGCGTACATCCCATTTTTGCCCCCTGCACCTCCATTCTCTTCAACAGCTCAGCCCCACACTCCTGCTTTGCTTGCCAAGTCTGTGCCTGCCCCCCTAGCCACAGCAGGTCCCAGCCCCTGTGCCCTGGTGCCCCTAGTCACAGGCCATCCCACCTGTGCAGCAGGGGTACTGGAACAATCAGTAGCATGGGCTGCAGGTGTGCCACGGAGCGCCCCTGCAAACCCTCTGACAGAAACCACATCAGAGTCATCCCAAACCCTTGGCCCCGCTGGCTCAGTTCTCCGGCCCCTCCCTCTCCTAAGCAGGCCACACCCCTCCCTTGCTTCTCCCCGCTGCCCATCACCAGGGTCCTGGCCTCTGCAGTCGCCAGCCCCTCCCCGCAGCTCCCTTGCATGGCCCAGGCAGGCTCGTCCCTCGCGCATGGTGCTTGTGGGCTGGGTCTGGCCCCATGTGGCCTAGACCGTGGGCAGGCCTGTGCTGGTAGCAGCCTCCAGCCCGAGCCCACTGTGCTGTGGGGGGGAGCAAGGCAGGTGGGTGGTTTGTTCCAAGAATCAAAAGAGTTGGCTGGAGGGGGGGGGGAGGGGAAGTTGGCAAGGCTGCAGCAGGCAATCAGACACTCCCCCTCCCCCCCTGCAAATCACGTTAGGGTTCAGTAGCCTCCCCCCCTTATGAATAGCTGTACGAGTCAGTGCAAAGGCAGCCTGGCCCCTGCTTCCCACTGCAGGCATTGCCACACACTGCTCCCAGCAGCGTGGCTAGGGACGTGTGGCGCTCAAGGTGGTCTATGGGCCCTACTGCAGGCAGACATTGAGGAACTCAAGCTATCGCTTGTGTACATACAGACCCCTAAGGGGAGACTGTCACCTCCTTCACTGGGGACTTCCAGAGAGCAGCCTACATCCTACTGTAAACTGACCGCTCCCATGGAGAATGCCTTAAAGGAATCCACACACATTCAATAACCAGGCAAGAGGGACACTGGCCATCAGAGCAATTTGTCTTCATGCGTCTTCTGTCAGCCTTCCATTGGGCAACCTGTTTATGCAAAGAGAGAATTTCACACCTATTCAACAGCTGGTTAAACACCCCTCAAGCCCATGACACTGGTCAAATACAGGGCCATTCTGCAGAGTGAAGACTAATCTAATCCCCGTTACACAGCAATTATCACTATACACGCTCATTACACTAACTTAGTTCCCTGGCCGATGTCCCAACAAAGTAGCACTATCGTCCAATGGACTGGGTGTCAGGAAACCTGGCTTCTCGTTTCTCCCCTGCCACTGATGCATTGTGTGATAGTTGATGTCACCATTTCCGATCTTTTCCTCTATCTTAATAGGAATAGTGACATACAGCTTGACTTGGTAAACTGTTTTGAGATGAAAGGTCAACATTTTTCAAGTGTCCATTTATATTGGGTGCATCTGTGTTCTAGCCTGATTTGCAGAGATGTTTGACAACTCCAGGCAAACTCCAATAAGAATGGTGGGTGCTTGGCACCTTTGAAAACTCAGGCTCTAGGTAGCTCAAGCTGGCTAGCCAAAAATGGAGGTGCTCAGAATGAGAAACATGCCTGAAGATTTTACCATGATTTGCCCAATCCCAAACAGAAGTTACATTCCCTAATGCAGGGGTGGGCAAGAGGTTACCAGCGGGCTGGATCTGACCTGCCAAGCCGCTGGATCTGGCCTGCAGCCGCCTTGCCAGAACCCTTAGGCAGAAAACAGCTCATACTTTAAAAAGCCAGTTGTTCTCTCTCATGCTGTTCCCGCCTCTTGGCAAAATCTCTCATGCTGTTCCCGCCTCTTGGCAAAATCTCTTAGCTCCCATTGGCCAATATCTCAGTTTTCAGTTTCCAGCCAACAGAAGCTGGGAATTTTTGCTGGGAGCAGGGGCAGTGCAGGAAACCGTCTCCCACCGTCCTCCTTCTCCCCCGGAGCAGCCAGTCTGCCTCAGGTTTCTGCTGGTAAGCACCTCCCAGCCAGAGTCTGCCTTTGGCATCCCAGCCTCTCCCTTCCCCAACCCTGTGCCCCCCCTCCACTTACACTTACCCAAACCCTCTGTCCCCTAACCCCTCCCAGATCTGGCACTAACCCCTCCCAGATCTGGCACCCCAATATTGTACCCCAGCTCACAAGCCCCTCCTACCTTAGATCACATCCCAAAACACCGCATCCTACTCCCCTGCCCTAGGTCACAACTGCCTCCTTCACCCAAACTCCCTTCCAGACCCCAGTCTTTTTTTTCTTTTAAATGGAGATTGCCTATCTCCTAGAATTGAACTGGAAGGGACCTTGAAAGGTCATCGAGTCCAGTCCCCTGCCTTCACAGCAGGACCAAGTACCATCCCTGATGAATTTTTGCCCCAAATCCCTAATGGTCTCCGCAAGGATTGAACTCACAGCCCTGGGTTTAGCAGGCCAATGCTCAAACCACTGAGCTATCCCTCCCCCCAAGTTTCCCTCTTGCACCCCAGTCCTTTACCCCACACTCCCTTCTGCACCCAACCTCCATCCCAGACTCTGCACCTTTTCCATGAATATCATGGAAGTGTGCGGCCCTCGACCACGTTCCAAACTCTTGGAGTGCCCCCCCCCCATCAAAAATTATTGCCCACCCCTGGCCTCCCTGCTGTGCACTGGAGTGACCTTATGTTCCATAGAAATCCACGCCACACTTGGAGGAATGGGTCAGGCGTAAGCGCGTGGGTAGCCATCAACGCGCACGCTGCCACTGGAGGCGTGGATACATGGTGTTTCATAAGGGCTACTGAGGAGCAGCTGGGGGAGGGAGTGGTAAAGAGGTGAATTTATGTTTTGGCTGATGGCTGTACAACTTCCCCCACTGTTCATGCCTCCTTTATCTGTCCTAGGCATGTGAATAGTTAACCGGTTAACTGGCGGCCCGCATGGGCCGGAGAAGCTCCCTGCCCAAGCTGGTTGGGGAGCTGTTCTGGCTAGGCCAGGTTGTGGTGGGGTGGGGCTGGCCGGAGCAGCTTGCTCCGCTGTGGGTGGGGGATGCTCCAGCTTGACTGGGCCTATGGTGGGTCCGGCTGGACTGAAGCATCCCCTGCTCGTGGCAGGGGGCTGGGCCTGCTACACCATGCCTGGCTGTGGGCAGGGGGTGCTCTAGCCTGGCCTGGCTGGAGTGGCTCCTCCATCCGCCGCGCTTTAAACAGTTAACCGGTTCAACATACAATGTAACTGTCTGATTAAACAGGATATTACATCCCTGATCTGTACCCCACACGGCTTCTGTCAAGTCCTCACTCTCCCGACTCCATGAAAACAACTGCAGTGTACCCCAATGGAAGGATTTAACACCGGAAAGAATCTTATTGGCTGAAAAGGAGCCAGGATGGTACCGGCCCAGAACAGATTGCTCGTCTCTCAAATGACCTGAAAGAAATGATTAATCCAGAATACAGGCTAATTTCGGAACGTTATAAAGTGAGCATTTTCAAGCGGGAAAAAATTCCTACCAATAAAATCCCAACCCAAGGCCATACCTCAGAAGTCTCTCGAAATACACTTGACAAGGACAGTGCTTCAGAGGGAAAACAGAAAAAAATGGTTACTCTTCTCTTGACTCCAATGTTGATAGAGATGGCTCAGATTAGCTATAGATAGCTCAGATTCCCAAGGTATGGGGCTGTTCAGGTCTGGGGCTTTGGTTTGTGCTGCTCTCTAATTCAGAGTCATCTTTCGCAAGTGTATTAATATAAGAACCAGATCCATACGGTTTAATTACTCTGGCTGTTTGTCCTTGCTCTGCTGGGTGGGTGCAGGACTTTGGTTGGTCAGGCCAAACATAAATCATGAAGTTATAACACACCTATGTTAATTAACATAATTTCATGATTAGGAGGAAGCTTGGATAAGTGCAAACCGCACTTCTCTGTCTAGATTTAAAAGGCCTCTGTACAGTCCTTACCTGAGCCTGGCGCAGGCAGGCATGGGGATGGATTCTCCACCGTAGACATAAACAGGACACTCCACAGCTAGTGTCTTTACTGAATGAATTTATTGGTTTTTGAACTAAAGTTGCTCACAGTTATTTAACAAGGGATACATCAGATCTTTTTGTCCATTTTAAACTGTTAAATAATGTCAGTTTGTGTCTGTGAGTGTGTGTGTGTGTGTGGGCGTGCGCGCATGTGTGTCTTCAAAGTACAAAATAGGAAGGCTAACAAGAGGTATTGCTTTCGTTTATTCTTATATCTTGTGTAAGTAATCCCCTTCCTGCTTGTACTTCATGGATTTTGCTGATATAGGTTTTTTTTTTTGTAAATTATTATTATTATTTTGTATCGAAATCCCAGCCTTTTGTAGAGGTACAATGTAACAGAAGCATCAAAATCTATACACAAGGGAAGAGAAAAGAGGGAAAAGAGGATGGAGGTGGTTGCAGGAGATCCTGGAGGAGAGGCAGAGAGAGAGGGCAAAGGCAGGAACGACAACGAAAGCAAAAGAGACTAATTTACAGCAATGTCATGCAATTAAAACTGCCCCCCCTCCTGCACCCTGGCCTCCCCCTATTCCCAGCCATCACCCCCACGGCATCTGACATGCACACAGCAATACAATTTTAAGAATAGGAAAAAAAATAATAAATAAAAACAACCCCAAAATAAATAAAATAAATCTCTTCCATTGGGGGACAAGGAAAGGTCAAGAGTTAAAGGTCACCATCCCAATTGTGCCTTATTTTTTTTAAATCTTCAAACCTATGTACAAGTGAAACTGGTCAAAGGGGGAAAAACAAAGTAAACAACAACAATAACAACAAAAAGAGGGAAACTGTCCAATGTTATCATTTTAAAAAACCAAAAATTCTTGTGGTACAACATACACCCATAGGAACCCAACAAACAGCAATTGAAGGTCATCAGAGACTTGCACTCTAATGCTAACCCTACGTTCTTCAAACCTCAGTAAAGAAGGATTTCTCATTGTGTTTTTATCGTTGATGTGTACAACTGTGTTTGTTTTAACCTCTGAACTTGGGCCTGAATAAATTACACTTGGTCATGTAGCTCTCAGGGGGAAAAGAAAGACCCCTCCCCCCCAACAAAAGTCAAGTTTGCAAGAGGAACATTTAAGGGGTTTTTTGTACCTTTTTTCCCCCCTCTCCCCAAAATAAATAGGATTCAGTGTCGCCTCTACACAGTAATTAAACAAAACAGAAGATATATCTAACAGCTTATTTTTTAAATATATATGTATATATAAATAACCAAGACTAATAATAACTTAAACACAAAAACAGTCCTCACCCTCACTCCCACCCTCTCCAGTCCCCTTTAAAAAAAAAAAGCTTTATAAAAATATCTTGCAGTAATTTTTAAAGTTTACAGTAGCTTTGTGATTAACTTGCCCATAGCATCGACCCCTCGTCTCAGACGAACGAAGTGCCAGTGGTATGCACATGCACACACATGGGGAAAAAAACCCTCCAAAATTATCCTCTTTTCTTCTTCTTCTGTTTGTTAAAAAACCCAATAAATCAAATAAATAAATTAAAACCAGCAAATAAATAATAATACTGATATTGATGCAGCACTAGCGACACGACAATTGTATCCAAATGCACGGTGTGGTGGAGGAGCCTGCTGGTGGAAGAAGGTCCCAACATGGCAGCGTGGTTGGAGGGAGCTGAAGAGTGGGGAGGCAGGTGAAGAAGGAGCAGCAGCAGCAGCAGCAGCAGCAGCAACGGCAATTGGTGGCAAGAGAGACTGTTCTCGGCTAGGCAGAATCCTTTCTCTCCTCTTTTGCTGCCATATGTTGCCTTTTCCCTAAGCTTGAATGTTTGTTTGTTTTTCTATTTGTTCATTCCCCCCTCCCCGCCTCACAGAAGTATCCCCTCCCCCTCCAGCAGGTCGAAAAGCAAAATGATAAGAGTATAAAAAACAAACACAATTTAAATGAAAGGAAAAAGTGGGGACAGGAAAAAAAGGAGTTTGAGAAAATCCCACAGTGAAGCTCCCCGATATTGTCTTGGTTCGATGCTTTGTTTTTACTCACTCCTTGGTAGTTTTGGTTGAGACTGCTCCCTGGTTTCGTGGTAACACTTCCCCTTGTTTCTTCTCCCCCTCCCCCTGCCAGTCTGAGTTCACCTGCACAGATGAATGTTGTCAAGGACAATGGTGTCGCTCCAACAATTGCAACCTGCTTCCAGCCCAGACTGTACAATCCCATTACTGAGCCGATCTCCCTCATGGAGCACCAAAAAGAAAAAAAGAAAAAGTGTGTGTTGGGAAGGTGTTTGGGAGGAGGCGGGGGAGAAACCCATTTCCTGGGGGAAGAGGGGAGAGGCTGGGAACCTCAAACAGGACTGGTCCTTGGACAGTCTACATCGGTTTCCTTCCGTCAACAAGTGTCCGCAGAGCACAGAAGGTGAAGTCGTGGCTGACATGTTAACTTTTCGGGATAATTCCTGGTAGCAGAGCGGAAACAAGCGGTGTCGTCAGAAACAGAGAGAGCATGAACAGAACAAGAAACAAAAATAATAATTTAAAAAACCCAACAAAACACCAGGAGGGGAAAAATAAAAATAATAATCAAAATACAGGGAGATGAAAAAACAAAAAAACAAAACCAAAAAAGCCACAACCCAAGATCTGGTGAACTGGGTTTTGCCATCTGTGCTACCTTTTCTTTCTTTCTTTCTCTTTCTTTCTTTTCTTTCTGTTTCTGAGATATATATTATATATCATATATAAATATATATATGTATATATACACAGTCATTCCTTCTTACAAAATTTGTCTATAGACAGTTTTGTACTGTTGTGGAAAGGTATATACATCCTTCTAGTTTAGAGGCTAGCTTGCTAAGGAATATTCTTTCATTCTTGCTTGCTTTTTGTTTTTTAAGTTATTTAATTTTTTTAAATGTATTTATTTAAGGTTGGTCTTGTAGGCCGACTGATGAGACCATCTTTGCCTTGTCTTTGCCAGCAGGGTACTTATTGTCTCCTCTAGACCCATAGTCATTAGCATCGGAATCGCTCCGCTTGCTGTTTGCGCTATGCTTGGTTGGCGTGCCGGGGGGATGGCTCACCTGCCCGTTCTTCTCGTCTGAAAAAAGTTGTTTAATTACGTCAAAGAAGTTACTCAATGGGCTGCCTGGGTACACAAAACAGAAGAGACAAAAAAAAAAAAAAACACACACACACACAGAGAGAAAGAGAGAGAGGAAAGGGAGAGAGAGAGAACAAACAAACACATGAACAATGGGGTTTTTAACAAGAAGAACGTGATGAGAGATCCAGAGCCACGTGCATGGGGGTGTGTGGAGGATGAAGATGATGAGCAGGAAGAGTGTTAAGAGGGGACACCTCTGGCAGTGAAGAGGCGTGTTCTACTTGCATGCCATGTGGGTGGGAACAGAGATCCTAGCTAGCAGGGGAACTTCATGGCGACCTGATCCTGGCACACAGCACCATGTTGCGGATGCAGCTATGCATTGTGTTTAGATTGTGGAATTAGGTGTGAGTGGAATGTAACCCTCAGGAGATGCAACTCTTGTATAACTGCACAGATAAAACGGGGGGAATTCATGCACAATCAGCTCTGCCTTGCCACCTGAGCAAGTGCTGGGTTAATAATGATGCTTTTCTTCCTTCAGGTATGCGGATTGGTCTCTCCCTGGCTGCCCGCACATGCGCCTTCAGCCAGCCACTTGGCCTGGAACATCTGAGCATTGCAGGGGCCTAGCCAGATTGGAAAAGTTAGTAGGGCGGGGTTGCAAAGGAGCGATGCTCAGTTGCTGTGTGTAATAGGAGTCTGCATGGTTCTGAGCACCTTCAGTCCTCACCGACAACCGCAGGACTAGCGGGTGCTCAGCAGATTGCAAGACCAGGCTCCTGAGCATATGAGGTTTCTGGCCAGGATTTAACTGCAAGGACCACAAGCAAGAACTAGTACTGAGCTGACAGACGCCACTCTCTTACACACAGCTTTTGTTACTATGAGTGTCACTGTTACGGAGCTGAGAGCCAAAGGCATGGCTGGGGCATAGGCTAACAGAAAAAAGCGTTAGGAACCTTGGATGAATTCAGCACCAGATTAGGGCCAACCATGGCGCAGACTGGGTCCTGCACATCGGTCAGAACACAGCCTTTCCTGGCACCACCACAACTGCTTTGCCGTTGTGCCTTTTTAGAACACCCTAGAGCCATTTACTCATCATGCTCATTGCCATATGGTTCTCCATCACTGTCCCACAGCCACATTGTACTATGAGAGAATCCTAGGGTCTGATCCGTACTGGTATAACGCCATCACTTGGGAGTGTGAAAAAGCCACAGCCCTGAGCGACTTATACACAGCCAATCTGCTGAGCATATGCGACTAGACAGTGCTGTCCCTGGGAGAGCCTCTGGGGAAGGGGGACTAACTCTGCTAATGGGTAGGGCCCTGCACAGATACAAAATTTGTATCTGCAGCTGTAGCCTCAAAAATGAGCCAGGATACCTGCATCCACAGCTGTGGATACCGGAGGATATAAAGTGTATATCTGCAAATATACAACGTTCTAGATACAAAATTTGTATCTGCGGTCACATCCGTATCTGCAAAAAGGAGCCTCAGCTATCCGCAGTCATACCTGCAGCTGCAGATACCCATGGCCATCCAAGGATTTGCAAGGCTCTGCTGATGGGAGAGCTCTCTCCTGTCAGCTTAAAAGCAGAGGTGGGGGACCCTTTTTTGGAGTCAGGGGGCTGCATACAAGAGAGAAGCAAAAAGACAATCCAAACCCCTCACTGACGTGGTCCCCGACTGAGAAGGAGACAGACACGCCCCACATTCGCCTTGCACACCAGAGCCTGGGGAGGTGGGGGTGTAGGTTAGTAGATTATGCTAGTAGATTGTGCTCTAGTTTCATGGTGGGACAGTTGGGGGGAGGGGCTGGAGTGCCAGCACCAGCTTCCCATTGCTGGGGCAGGGAGGAGGGGGGTTGGAACGCCAGCACAGACTCCCCAATGCGGGCGGGGAGCTCTGAGCCTCAGGGACTGGATCCAGGCAAGCCAGAGGAGGTGGGGGGGGGGAAGCCCCCAGGCCTTAGGTGCCTCACCCCTGGCTTAAAGCATCTTTATTGAAGCACTACAGTGGCACAGCAAAATCCCAGGTGGCACACAAGTAGTAAATATTATAATGGACCATTCAGTGTAGAACGGTCCCTTACATTATGTGGTAAACAATCTGTTTGACTTTGCGTTTTGCTGGTGTGTTTGCTGGTTCCTTTCCCAGAGCTGAAGAAGAGCTCTGTGTGGCTCAAAAGCTTGTCTCTCCTCAGCAGAAGTTGGTCCACTAAATGATATTACCTCACCCACCTTGTCTCTGTAATTTGGGGATTTCCTCACTTTACAAGGCACAAATATTATGTAAGGAGCCCTCATGAGCATGCATAACTATATGCCTGATTTTATTTGCTATGCACTATAGTATGTAACTTCATGGTGGACACATGCTTCCGCTGTGACATATCCCAAGAGGTTCACAGGGGCAGAAGTAATCAGGGTAGTTGGCCATGGATGGGCAGGTGATCACTATATCAATCCCTGCTATTGCAAAGTGATTCAACTAAGAGCTAGACTGTGACTTTTAGGCACAGCCCTGGGCTAGGAGTGGTGCATGAGATGTGCAAACCCAGTACTAGCCCCAGGAGTCTTTGTGTTGCAGAGCCATGCCTGCGAGACAGTTTCAGGGGGCTGGGAGGTGCTTCTTGGCTGCTGGCATGGCTCAGCCACAAATGATGACGCCCCCACACTGCACAGATGTATTGCCCAGTGAACAGCTGCGGGAAGAGCCTTAGCACTATCCATTTGCCACCTCCTTGCTCCACATGCATGCATATCCTCACTGCTGCATGCCCTGACTCAGTGTCACGTAAGCCCATGTCAGGGCAAGGAGAGTTTCTCTTACTCTCTCATGCCAGCGTCTAGTCTGAGTCACAAGTCAGCGTTCTCATTGACTACAGCCACATCAGCATGAGCTCATGGGCTTGCTTTTCGCTTAAAAGCTAAGAAAGCTCTGGCCTGGTCATACATAAATAAGTGTCCACCCAAATCCCCTAGAAGTTGCAGGAATTGATGCTGGTGGTTCTACAAAGTG